AAATCTGCGTTGATGCATACGCTCAGTTGCTTTATTTGGGCAAATATATTGGATCATTTCATATTTTATCTGTCTATATTTCTGAGATGAGGTATTATGTACATTATTTACATTATTCGGACTATTGTCCTCATCTTTGTCGCCATATTTATAACAACGTTTCGGCCTTTCAGTATCTGTCTATATTTCTGAGATGAGGTATTATGTACACTATTTACATTATTCAGACTATTGTCCTCATCTTTGTCGCTATATTTATTACAACGTTTCGGCCTTTCAGTATCTGTATATATTTCTGAGATGAGGTATTATGTACACTATTTACATTATTCGGACTATTCTTCTCATCTTTGTTGCTATATTTATCACAACGTTTCGGCCGTTGTACGCTCCGGCCTTCTTCAGGTGGTTTCAGGTCGTCCAATTTAAGATTTTGTTGTTGCTGTTTCTTATTGTTTTTTTTTTGTTTTTTTTTGGTGGGGGGGTGCTGTTGATTGTTTTGTTCTCAAGCGATTAATCTACCACTCGATCATGTGTGCATGTGTTGAGAAACTTTCAACATTAAGTCGAGGTTTTTAAAATTTTCTAGTTGAAAACCAAATTAACCTTATCTTTAATCATTTAAGAAGTTCAAAGTGATCGACTTGCTTTTGAGCACCCGGTGTTTGCAAGGCACAATCAGATACGCCCAATAAAATGGATTCATTTTTCTAAGCTTGAGAACCTCCACCCAAATCGTACACGTGCAAGCACGCCACAAATCTTTTATATATACGAGATACTGTCTAAACAGACCAACTAAAGAAAAGATTCGTTTTTTCATGTCAGATAAAATAACGAACATGTAAGTGAGTAGCTACTCTAAAAATCATTTTGATATTTTTTCAGTACAGACATAAGAATTGGGTCTGTCATAATTTCTTTTTTTTTTTAAGTCTCCTCTTTCGAGTAAGTCATATAAACTTAATTAAAAGGGGACATTTTAATATTTGTTTCTTTTTCTTCACTAGAAATATCGGACACTCATATTTATTCCTTTATAATATTTACGCGTCGAACATGATGATGATTTGTCTTATTTAATTTTTATACCAAAATTTGTCAAATACAAGGCTCGAGAGCTACACAAGTTAGAGGCTTACTCTTAAAATGGTTATGATGAATGAGCTCTGTGATATAAATATAAGAGATGGTGTTAGGATGTGAAATTTATAAAGATGAGGAGGATAGATATTGAATGACGCTTGACTTTGAAGAGGTTAGGATTCTACTGTTCAGAGAAGCATCCACGTGGGAGTATGTCCCACAAAGTAGCGATTTAGTAGCTGTCTGAGTGAAACTTTCTTTTACATTTGAAATGAGAAGAAATGTGGCTGATTCAACTCCGTGGAAGTGGCGTGTCCTAGTTGTAAAATTCTGAACTGCTGTGAATAAATAATGGAGCTCCTCTGAACTTTTGCCATAGATAGTGATAGGTTTTTGAATTAATTCACCCATATTCAAGGCAATAAAGCCACTAAGACACAAGGTTTAACTGGGTTTTAGAGAATATGAGAAAAAGAAAACATTATTAAGGAGAGAGGACAATAAAAAAAACAAGAATTAAGAAGATAGAAGATAACGATTGGCATTGCATTTAAATTTTTGAAGATCAAAATTGGTAACAAAATTGGAATAACAGAAAAATTAGAACATGTAAGTTTTCCGGGTGGCTACAAGGGTGGGTGCCTGTTTCCTAGGTTACCTTACCACCAGTGACAAGGTGCGGTGTCACCAATATGTGCCAAAATCAATTCAATATTTTCTACCACGTCTTATTTCATTTATATAACACAACGTTTTTTTATTATTAACCCTTTTAATAGCAACCCTGTAGCTCTGGAGCCTTGTACTGAGTTAACTTTAGTATATAAAAAACGATAGCTTACATGGTGGTAAAATGTGAATTACGCATCAAAGGAAATTTCATTTGGGTAATGAAAGTCGATATCTTACATGTCGACGTTGATGTATTGAATTTTCAAAGTCAGTCTCGAAAAGAAAACATCCATTTGTGTGCAACACGATAATGCCAGACTCCACACCATTTTGAAGTCCATAGATCATGTTGCAAATGTCCTACACGCACCGTATTGCTCTGATTTGCTGCCTTTCAACTATCAACGTATCGGACTGATAAAAAAATGAACGGTACAAACATTTCCATCTTAAAAATCGAGAAGTATAAGCAAATTGCTGATACCTCTTGACGTGTGGACGGAGGGGTCTGGCAACGAAACTCGGGAGTCGGGATGCTGGAGGTAACATCAATTATATAAGTGAAAAACTTCTTACGTGAATCAATTATCAAACTTATACTTTGAGAAACTTTTGCAACGAATCGCAAAACTTTGTGCTGCAGTAAGCAAGGCTAAAGGAGGTTATTTTGACAAGAGCAAAATTTAATCCTAAAATGCTTTATTTTCTGTTTTCTTAATAAAATTTCTAATAAAAAAATTATGTCTCGCTATTTTTAAAGCATGTATGATAATTGGTGAACTAATGGATAGCATCTCGGATTGAGGAATCGTAGAACCGAGTTAGAATTCCAAACAAATCCATTACATTCACTTACGTGCTAATACCCTTGGAAAAGGTATGAATCCTCTTTTCCTCCACTCCCCCAGCTATGGGTAAAACGTAGAACAGAACGGGTTCTATAGCCTTGGATGGAAACTGATCTGCCGCAGAAAGAAATGGCAACCTACTGCGGGAAAAAATCTGTCTCGTCAGTCACGTATCGAAAGATGCATTATCGCCTAAGTGTGTATCAAGCATGGCACATAACTGACTGCTAATAATTTTCTCTTACGTAAAGTACAAAACAACTACTTTTGGGCTCAGTTTAAAAAATTACCAGGGGTTGTCTCAAACTTTTGAACTCTAGTGTATATGAAATTTGGTAAGTGAAATGGGGTGAAATGATTAAAAAGTAAATTAGTAAAAAACCTATTTTCCTGAAAAATAATTTAAAATTCAAGAGAAGATAGCACTTCCGAATGTTTCCTTATAATGGAACTGATAATATTACCATATATACATATATATATATATATATATATATATATATATATATATATATTAGAGAACTGGAAAGAATCATTATAAAAATAAATATACAAATATTATATTTATATTATTCAATTAAACTTCTTTGAATGAAGATATACTTCATATATATATATATATGTATATATATATATATATATAGAAATTATATATATATATATATATATATATATATATATATATATATATATATATATATATATATATATAGGGGAATAGATATGACAAAGTGGGAAAATATATCCATCTAACTCTGTGACGCGTTTTGTCCTTGAGGACTTCATTCGACTAAACGTTGGTGTCCGATGATGACCTAAAGGACCAAAACTTTTACACTTTGTCATACATTTCCCCAAATATTGTTCATTATATATAAATTTTCTATATTTTATTTTATTTTATATATATATATATATATATATATATATATATATATATATATAGAATGAAATCTGACCAGAGCACACTACCGCGGTTTCGACCTCTACGGTTTCCTCCGTGGTTTGTTCAGCAAATCAACTGCACGGAGCTCAAGTACTTTCGAAACAGGAAGTAGTGGTGGGAGAAAAAATTTCCTAACTTAAACCAAGGTCAAATAACTCTGACATACATACATACATACATACATACATACATACATATATATATATATATATATATATATATATATATATATATATATATATTATATAGAAATGTACGACAATTATTTTAATATATTTTCCGTTTATACCTTATTTTTTAGATAATTATTTAAATAAATATTTTCGTTTTCCCTTCATCCTCTCATCCAATTCATCTCATGCTGTATATTTTTATATATATTTAAATAAAATATTTTATATTATCAAATTTTTATGTCATTGTTATTTTAGTATAAACCCTGTGAATATGCGGTATTGTGGTATATGTTGGCACGAATGGAGATGGATGAGTTCTTGTGGTGATAGAGCAAATTGTAAAGAATGAATGAGTCGTGAATCAGATTAGCTTGGTACAGGATAGTCAGTGTTCACCAGTTTCAACCCACTTTCCCTTCGGCCTTGTGCCAAAATTGTAATTATATTACAAGAAATAATCGTCATTCTGAAATTATTACTGACGTAAAAGTAAAATATAACTTCACATTTTCAAAAATATGAAAGCAAAACAATCAATGGTTGTTATGTCTTGCTGCAAAACTTAGAATTGAATTGGTTTTTATTTTGTTTTTTGTTTTTGTTTTTTTTTGTTTTTTTCAAAATATTTCTATGAGAAATTCTGAGAAATTTCCTGAAGTCTCGATTTTAAAATGTATGCAAAGTTCATCAGTTTTATGAAATTATTTCATTGTAAATATCTTTGTACAATTCCATAAAATGGCGTATAGAAGGTTGTAGAATTACAGTTGAAGAGCTAGAAATGTACACAGAAAATGTTATTAATAAATTAGATGCTTTGGCAAAGAATGCTTGTTGCTAAAGAAAAGCAATTTTTTTTTCCGTTTGTATGTTTATTTTTTTATTTTTTGTTTGTTATTTCACCCCAGAGCAAGGCGTTAATGTCACTAGACCGGAGGGTGTTACATGGAGTGAAAGCAAATGAGAATGAGAAGACTGAAGATTAAGGAATAGGCAAAAAAGGAATAAGTTTCAAGAAAACAGAAGATGGCGATGTGTGTGTGTGTGTGTGTTTGTGTGTGTGAAGGTGTGTGTGTGTGTGTGTGTGTGTGTGAAGATGTGTGTGTGTGTGTGTGTGTGTGAAGATGTGTTTTTGTGTGTGTGTGTGTGTGTGTGTGTGTGTGTGTGTGTGTGAAAATGTTCATAGGCTGTAATACACAGTATGTTTATGTGAATAAATAATACCAGTAACTCAAGATACGTAAGTATGAAGGACTCAGATGAGCAATTTACCTGATCGACAGACATTCCGACGAACGGCATTCTGGATACGTTTCAAAGAATTAGAGTTTGGCACATGGAAAATATAGTCAGACCGGGTGGCCAAGTTTAGCAGTTCATGGTAATTGACGCGCTTCCCAATACCAATGGCATAAATTCGGATCGGCATCGATTTGATTTCTTGAGAAGCCTTCACCGTCTTCCATCTTTCGTTCGAACCCCCATCGGTGATGATAATGAGGATGTTAGCAACTCCATCTCGGCCGCCAGACTTCTTAGAGAACGCGTTCTTTCGGATGTAGTCGAGTGCAACCCAAGTGTGTGTCCGCCCGCCACGGTAACGGGTCCGGCTGATAGCTTTCATGACGTCATGTTTGTTGCTGTAATCACCCAAGTAGAACTCGCTACGTGCATACGTCGAGAATGTTACCAATCCGATACGAACGATGGTCGGAGAGACGTCGGCATCGGAGACAAACTTTTTCATGAAGTTGAGCTGTTCTTGAAACTCGTCTTGTCTAAGACTTCCGGAACAATCAAGTAAAAAGATCACATCAGCAGGATGACTACAGGTCGTATCTAAAGGAGAAAAAAAAAACAACAAAAATGTATAGAAGTACAAATAAATAAAAGCAGATGAGAGCGTTAAAATGTTACGTTTGCATGATGGATTGTATGTGTAACGTTAAAATTTACGTAGCTTAGCGGTTATCGTTGTGAATCGGATTGCTGAGTTTAAATTTCGGAAAGTTCTATGAATTCATCTTTTTACAACCTCCTCCCAGTTATGCCATTTAGGCCGCGAAAACTAAGCTCTCCAGCCTTGGTTAGCAACTAGTCTACAAGAAAAATAACTCTGGATTCAAAACCGTTGATTGGATAGCAACCCTTTCTTGTAAAAACTTACCTGCTAAGGAAGGGATGTGTAGTTGATGCAATGGCTCGCCTCTCGGAATAAGAAATGGGAAAGACGAGTTCGAATTCCAATCGGGTTCGTTACATTTACTTACGCACAAAAAACCTTACGAAAGGAATTAATCCATCTCGTTTCCTCGGCTATGGATTAAATAGTAAGTCTTGTATTTTAAAAATCTCCTAAAAATTGTCACTCAATATTCACTCGCCAAAAATAAAAGAATTACTTCTTACAATTCAAAACCAATCAATCTGCTACAAAAACCACAGCAACAACACTAGCGTGGTAAGGCTGTGGTTCTAACATGGTCAGGCTGTGGCTTTATACGTCATAAGAGTCTGCTGATACTAAGGAAGAGGAGGTAGATAATACAAATAACTAAATGCCATATCCTCGAAAACACATGGCACAGAGGATAAAGGCGTTAGTTAGATCCAATGACAGGACTCAAAGAGTGTGAGTTCAATACCCGGTTAAGGCAGTGTACTTTCAGAGGGGAATTAACAGGAGATAACTGATATCTGACATCCATTAAACATGGCACGTGGAACTAGAACAGTCTACCTCAGAGTGCGAAATAAAGGGTTCAGTTCGACATCCCAGCCACCTGAAGAAGGCCGGAGCGTACAACAGGCGAAACGTTGTGATAAAGATGGTGACAAAGATGAGAACAATTCTCCGAATAATGTAAATAGTGTACATAATACCTCATCTCAGAAATATAGACAGATACTGAAAGGCCGAAAAGTTGTAATAAATATAGCGACAAAGATGAGGACAATAGTCCGAATAATATAAATAGTGTATTAATTACAATTTGTCTGAATGTCTCTAAATGCTGGAGTTAATTTTCAAACTCGAATAAATTTCTATCTTGATGACCAAAGACGTCCTCCACGAAGTGTTTTACTATCTACGCCACTTGAACAATGTATTTTCTATTCCTACTAGCAATCAGTTAAAAGTTTATACTAAATGTTTACCAAATAAATAAAGGCATGTAAGTGTGTTCAGAAAATAACATTCTATTTATAAAAGTTTCTATTCAAAATCAAATCATACTGTTTTTTGTTTTTTTTTATTCAGTTCTTTTTTTTAATCATTTCACACAAGGTAAGGTGATGAAGCCACTAAGACGCAAGGGGGCTACTGAGAGTGAAAGAAACTTTATTGAGGAGAAAGGATAATAAAAGAACAGAATTAAAAGGTCAAGATGATGATTAACATTGCATTTAAATTTTTTGAAGATCGTAGTTGACTGGAAAGCAAGAAGCCTAATGAGAGTTCCACAGACGAGAACTGCAAATGAAGAAGATATTAGAATAGAACTTACGGTTACATCTTTTAATTTCAACATTATATCGTGCTCCAACGATATCTCGTTGGGATTTAACATGGAGGTCATCAGAGGAGGAGTTTTCAAATGTCCAAAATACAAACCAACTGGAGTTTATTCTGAACTTTTAAAATTTTATCCTGACATTCATCAATAAGAATGTGTTAGGGTTTTGGATGTGAAAATCATTTTGAGTTTTTTCTTCACTAAAATGCTTTTCATATGGAACAGATTTAGATTATTCAGTTTCTGAATTTTCTTTCTTTTTTATTTCCTCCCTGTCATCTCTCTCTCTTTCTCTCTCTCTCTTTCTTTCTATCTTTCTCTTTCTTTCTTTCTTTCTTTCTTTCTTTCTTTCTTTCTTTCTTTCTCTTTCTCTATCTATCTCTCTCTTTCTCTTTCTTTCTCTTTCTCTCTCTCTTTCTTTCTTTCTTTTTCTCTCTATTTCTCTTTCTCTCTCTCTTTCTCTCTCTCTCTCTTTCTCTCTTTCTCTTTCTTTCTTTCTCTTTCTTTCTTTCTTTTTTTCTTTCTCTTTCTCTATCTTTCTCTCTTTTTCTCTTTCTTTCACTTTCTCTCTTTCTTTCTTTCTTTCTTACTTTCTTTGTCTTTCTCTCTATTTCTCTTTCTCTCTCTTTCTCTTTCTCTCTCTCTTTCTCTCTTTTCTTTCTTTCTTTCTCTCTCGCTCTTTCTCTTTCTCTCTTTCATATGGAACAGATTTAGATAACTCAGTTTATGAATTTTCTTTCTTTTTTATTTCCTCCCTGTCATCTCTCTCCTGCTCTCTTTCTCTCTCTCTCTCTCTCTTTCTCTTTCTTTCTTTCTCGCTTTCTATCTCTCTCTTTCTCTCTTTCGCTCTCTTTTTTTCACTCTCTCTTTTTCTCTCTCTCTCTCTTTCTCTCCCTCTTGCTCTCTTTCTCTTCTCTCTTTTTCTCTCTCGTTTTCTCTTTCTCTCTCTTTTTCTCTCTCTCTCTATTTCACTCGCTCTCTTTCTCTCCCACACACAGAAAACACACACCATTTTCTTTCCTGTTTGCAGCCTTAACCTTTCGGCTTTCCCACGCACTCAAATGTATGGCGATAATTATTACATTAATAATAATAACAATCGCTGACATCAGAGAACATCAGCTGACGAGCAACCGCCGGAAAAGTTCGGTTTCATAATGAGATTAATAATGTTTCACTAGAAAAAAAAAACAGTTAAATTACAAGTAAAATATTATTGTTTTACTAATATAAATGATTTGGAAAACAAGCAAAAAATTCTAATACCATTAATATAATTAAGTATTAATATTAATTAATGTTGTATAATTGCGTCCTAATAATTGGAATCATCTTTGTCGTCAACGTGTTTTTGTTTTATTTCCATCGTTTGTATGAAACTTCAATAATAATGGAACAATTCATTCGTTCTATGCGTTATTAAGTGATTTTTATACTAAAAGAAAAAATGGTTTACGTGGCTGCAATCAGAAGGAAAATAAGTTTAGTAATTGTGTAATCTTTTTCATTGAATTTAAGCTGTGTAATGCAAATTTTATGATATTGGGTTCTTCGGAAAATAATGTCCAATTTTAGAAGCCAATATTATTCCTGAATTAATGTATTTAAGCAATGTTTAAATCAGTCAAAATAGGAAGCCTGAACATCTATAAAGTTCCGCCATCGGGTTGCAAGTTTACTTATGCCTTTATGATAAAACTCTCAAGGTGTGAACGTCAAAAATTTCTTGAATGCATTTTCGGCTTCTTTTTTTACAACAGAATGTCTTTGGGTTGAAAAAGTGGTAGTTAGTGGACGGGACATCAGGGCAATATGAAGAATATGGCAAAGTCTTGTGTGCCAAGTCGGAGAGCTTCTGTAGTTTCATTCTGGCAATCGTCGATTAATCAGTGTTGGTCACATTTAACTGAATGTGAATTTTATACAATTGCTGGTTGTAAACTTCGGCAGTGGTGAGATTACAGAAAGCTGTAATCAGTAAGGCCAATGGTAGACCACAAAACCGTCAGCATAATCTTCTTAGAATTTCGGTTTTGGAAAGTGTTTGGATCCTTTGTCATAATCAGGCCATCGAGACATTCGTTTACGACCATCTTAAAAGATTCATTTCTCATCATAAGTAACGATCGATCTGGAAATGGATCATTCTAACTTCGCAAATACAGCATTGAACTCACTTCAAAACATTTCAGTGCGTTCATGTTAAAGCCATATATGGAGTTTCTTGACCTTACAAATTTTCTTGAAATAGCCTCTGGCATCATTATCTGAGAGATTTCTCTGATACTTTGATCTATGTGTGTGTTTTTTCGACTCTCTTCAAATGTAGATGGGCGTCCTTTACCAATTTGATCTTCAAGATTCCTCTCCTCATTTTAGAAACCAGCGCCGTATTGTTCGATCATAAGTAGATCCTTCACTCCATGCTCTGTTAGTGTTGTGTCGGAAACCTACCACCCGTCTTGAAGATGAACTTGTCTGCGTCTGTGAACAAAGACTTTAAATAGTGGCATGTCAGTTGACATGGAAAAAGACAGATAGACAGAGAGGGTAAGACCTTCGAGTCTAGCTGTCGTGATACAGTCTTTGACTGTAAGCGACGTCTGTCAAACTCTCTACATTAGCAGAGAAGAACCCGGACGAAGCTTTGCCGAAGGGCAAGGTTTCGTCCGGGGAGGTAGACAGGGCCTGAACCCGTCTAGGCGGCTTCAAAGGCTATATTTTTGGCCGAGCCTACGGGCTCGGAGATACCCACATTAAACCGGCCTTGTGCCATATTCAATCCTCGTGGGTGGATCGATAAATACTAAGACAGAAGACAGAGAAGTTCTTAGCTGAGCTAGTTATTGACTACTCAGGCGATTTCTGTACCTTTTTACCAACCTATTAAAACCCTTTTTATTGTTACGTGCTATTTGGCGTTTGTCTCTACTAACCCCAAATCAACATTATAACAGTTAGTGATGACAGCAATTTGGGAAGTATTATGACCATGCTTGAACTCAAAGTAAACGCATCTCTTTTTTTTTTTTCATGTTCAAGATGGCGGGCATATAAATTTTAAACTAAATTCTGAAAGAGTTTGATAAAAAAATTAACAAAGAGGGTACGTTAATCATTAGGAATGAGTGATATATTTTTGTGCAACTATTATAATATATTAGAATACAATTGTAAAATCGAACATTATTTTCCGATCAGCCTAATAATTTGATAATTTCAAATGTTAATAATATATACTCAAAAGCTTTAATTAATGAAACCGAATATTGTTATCTATATATCCGCCTTTACTCGACTATCTTCTTTAGTTTCACTTTAAATATATTTCATGTTTAATGCATACATCACATTTAGCAATGTCTTCTCTTCTTTACGGCAAAACAATGGCTGGCAAACTCGACTTGCAAACTAGTCTGCTACTGTACTTTAATAAATTAGCTCCCCATTGGATGCTTCTCATTTGTGTTCTACCCATTATTTGTTCTTGGCAAATAAATCCATCTTGCTTTCACCATTTTCAAGAACACTTCTCATGCGATTTCTTTAGAAGCTCTTTTGGTAACTCGGACGTGGAAATTTCAAGTAATTTCCTTCTTATTATTCTCCTTCTTCTCAAAATTTTTCTTCTTCTTATGCTTTTTCTCGTTTTTTTTTTTTCTTCTTAAATTTTCTTCTCCTTTTTCTCCTGCGACTCCTCTTGCTCTTCCTCGTATCTTGTATTTTTTTCTTCTTTGCTTCTTCTCTCATCGTCTTCTTCTTCTCCTCCTCATTTATCGATGCCTGGATTGGGTCTGTTAGAATCTTTCTTTTTAGGCTGGTTCTCCTGGTTCCCTCAATCTTCGAATATTCTATGTGACGATTACCTTTATATTCCAAAACACACTCAGCCAAACTTCGCCATTTCACAAAATTTGATCGGATTTCCAATTTCAACAACAAATTCTTCTTTTTCTTTTTTTTTTTTCTGGTTATTGAAGTAAGTGTTGACTTCTTTATATTTTTCGCGATCTGCTCATCCAAGGCAAAAAAAAAACTTCCAAAATCTACCTCAAAATGTCAGCGTCAACTCAGAATTCCTGTCATTCTTTATCTTAAACAGATTTAATATTCCTTTGCAGAATGAGCTGAAAATATATATTAAAGAGAATTTCTAAAAGTTTACCAAACTTTGACAATAGAATAAAAAAATGGTTTAGAGCATCCGTGTACTCACCATAAATCGTTTGGCTACTGTAGTTGATGATTTGCAGAATAACTGAAAAAGAAGAAGAAAATCAATGTGGACAGATGAATAATAATGTTGAAGTCAGAAAGAATAAATGGCAAACAAATATTTTCAAATGCGGCTTTGAAGGAGGAAGAATTGTGCAAATCATATTATCATTCTGCTTGTTCTTCACTTACATTGACTCAGATAAATAATGGACCATTGCTTTTTGGATTGGGAGGATAGACGGAGAAAAAAGATATATCAGAGACATTGCTTGGTTTTACTGACAAAATAAAGCATATATAAATAGATAAGAAAGAAAGAAAGAAAGAAAGAAAGAAAGAAAGAAAGAAAGACAGAAAGAAAGCAAATGTTTAAGAGGGAGGGGCGAAGGAAGAAAGAGAATGGCTAAAAGAAAGAAAGAAAGAAAGAAAGAAAGAAAGACAGAAAGAAAGCGAATGGGTAAAAGAAAAAAGGAAGGAAGGAAGGAAGGAAGGAAGCGAATGGGTAAAAGAAAGAAAGTGTTCGACTTTTTCTTTTTTCTTTTTTTATGCAACGCCTCTTCAGGATATGAGTGAATATGGTTCTCCACAACTTCCTTTTTTTTATCATTTTCCTTTATCTTTGTCTCTGGTTTGCTATTATAAAACATTCAACATGTGACAGAAATTGGAATAATTCCATAAAGGACAGCAAATAGTCATACGATTAGAATATTTTTCAATGATGGATATTCGAAGCCTTAATCAAAGAAAAATATACAAATTATGATAAATGTTACAATCTCGACCTATCCCATAATATTTAAGGCATTTTAGGAGATGTCTACGCAATTGACAACTATTGTAGAACAAATGTAGCATAATTTTATCATGATGGAAGAGGGAACTGCAGCAACTGGTGATAATGCTGTTAAAGATGTCAATTATCAAAGCTAATTGCAATGACGATGCATTCTCTATGTTCTAGTTCTCTAAGTTCTAGTCAGACTCCTGAAGAATGCTGTAGGGTAAAACGGCCGAAACGTTGTGAATATACCAACAAAAATAAGAAAACTAGTCCTATTTTTTTTTTTTTTATCAGTTTTGGCTCATTTATTTATTTGTTTGCATTACTTTTTTAGTACATTATTTCATTTTGTGTTTGTAATTTGTTTTGCTTTTTCAGATAAATAATATGAAGTTAATATTAAATTTATATTAAATGCATTTCAAGGTATGAATTGCAAAATATTCTAAAAATTATTTTTTTTAAATTTGTCCAATGGGTTTTCAGTTTTTGCTATTCGAATTATTTTAAAAATTGAAAACTAATATTTATTTACTAAAAAGTTAATAAAAAATAAAAATCTCCAAAAACTCCAGGATTAGTTTTATTTATATTTCCAACATACCTGTTGAAGTATTTTTTAAAATGCCATATTTCTTCAGGACATAAGTGATCATAACTTTCCATGGTTTCTTTTTCTTTATTATCTTTCAATTGCTATGATTTCTTGGCAAAGATATTGGAGTGTTTTTTGTTGTCTTCTCACCAGCGTCTTCTCATCAATTCAGAATTTTCCTTCTCTTACATTGGTTGCCAGTCAAGTATAGAGATCCCAGCCTACCTTGCTATTTAACTTATAGATGGAGAGAATAGATGCTTCCATGTCTTTTCCAAGGGCATTAGTGGAAAAGAAAACATAAAAGGTCATAATTGGTTTGCCCATTTCACTTCTTGTAACGATAACTCTCCTTCTTCTATCTGCCGTGTCCATTCAGGACTTGGGTAATCATGGCTCTCTTCAACTTCCTATCCTGTGTAGTTCTTAATTAAGGTTTGTCTTTTCATCATCGTTCCCTCTCTCTCTTTTCTGTCATCCATTTACACAAGACCGTTATGTAGGTTGAT